AGGTTCTTATCCCAGTTATGAAGCAGGCATCCACATGCATAATGAACTGCTCTCTGAATTATTAATGTGTTGCTTATTTAGCCTCATCTGTCTAGAAGATAATGTATCCTAACTCTAATGAGTGATTGGTTTTGTACATAATTACAGTAGCAGCGGTAGTAGGGAAATACGTGCCTTCAACGAAGGACTTCTAAAAATAAAGTCATCACATAAACTCTGATGTGGTTGCATTCTATCAAAATCAAACCTGAAGCGCTTGAGAATTCATAATGAATTACAGGAGACAGAGTCATTATTAACATCATAATTTAACACAAAAGGTTTTACTTAATCATTCGTTACAGATCATATCTGTTCAAACGTGTATAAATGACTTGGGTTGTTTCAAGATGTTAGCAGAGATGACTTTTTTTTTTTTTTTTATGGCCACTCAGCAACTGTGGTTTGAAAGGTTCAGGAAGAGAAGGAAGGAGTGAGGGCTGACAGAAAATGGTGGTTATTGATGCTAATTTTAAAGTTAGAGAAAAGGTTCAAATGACACCTTTGTGTGTGTGTGCACATGCACACGTGCGTGCACACGCACAGGAAGGCAGAGATTGACCCTGAATGCCTTCCTTAGCAGCTCTCTTTTTGTGAGGCGGGGTTTCTCCCTGGCCTGCAGATTACTGAATCCTAGCGGCACTGCACGCAGATTTTTTACATGGGTTCAGGAGAGTGAACTCAGGTCTCAGGCTTGTGCAGCAAGCACTGTACTCACCCGTCTCCCCAGCACTCTCTGTTTCTAAAATGTGCATATCTGGGATTTCTCAGACCTTATTTATGCTGTCAAATGTATTTGGTTGGTTGGTTTGCTGGCTGTAAAGGAGTTTGGATCAGGTCATCTCTGAGCAATTCTGAGAGAACAGGCTCTTTGCTCACTTGTTTGTTTTGTCTCAACACAAAGGAATAGAAGCAAACTAGGAGTATTTACTTTACAGTTCTTAGTTTTGAACGTGCTGACCTCATCAGAGTGGGTTTATTATCACAGAAGCCATCTTTCCACATCCACCTTCTTGTGTCTTCTCCCTCAGTCTTCACAGGGGGGTTAATTGTGAACCTGCCAATATCAGAGTGTGCACATACTTGGGAAGTTTCATGTTGGCAAAAAAACTGTACTGTTGTGTACATGTGTACATGTTTTTTTAAAGAATCTATTACATGTGTAAATATGCCTGGAGCCTGCACAGACAGCCAGTGGTTCAGGATGGCAGAATTTGTTGCTCTCTAAAGCGCTGTAAGTTTATTCTCATACCAGAAACCCAGGTAGCTTTTTTTTGTCATGATTCTGGAAACATTTTATTTCTTAAACATTTTATTTCTTATAATGTTTTCCTGTTTTGTGTAGGCAGCTCCTAAAAGCATGTAATAGTGTTTGTGGGGCCGGATACTGTGGAACTGGGAGGAGCTGGTCCAGAACAGGACTAGGGCTGAACAATGTCCTACCCCGGAAATCTCACCTGATAGTGGTAGGAGTGAGGACCGTTCCCTCTCCTTCCCCTGGACTCCCACCTTTGCCACCCTCTCGGTAGTCACATAGCCTGGTGGACAGGTTACAGGTTTAACATCTTCTCTCCTTACAAGGTCATGTCCAGCAAGCACTGCAAATAATGCATTCTCAGCACCTTGGTCCTGGCCAGTAATGTACACTCACCCTGAAAGTCTCTGCCCATTCCCCAAAGATTTAAATAGCCTTTGTTCCTCCCAATTAAAGGAGCTGTTCAATGAAGCCTGCTTCCTGAGCTCTCCATCACCCCCAGCAGTTGCCTTGTTCTCCCTCTCAGGCCACTGATCTGAGCATGCTGTTAAGGGAGAGCAAGCAGAATGGGAACCTCAAGTCTTCACAGAGTTTCCATTCTTGGCCTATAGCTAGGAGGGATACCTGGAGGCAAGAGGTAGGGAAATGAGGGAATGTTGTGATTCAAGGTACAACTATTGTTATGGCTCCGCAAAGCTACATTCTGATGTGGCAGCTTGTCTTTGGAAGGTTGTACTGCTACTGTTTTCATCCACGCCTGGGCCAAGGGCACCACAGATCCTTCTGCCTTTAGGTGGAGACAGTTTCCTCATACCCAGTTCAGTTCTGCTTCTCAATAGGCAAAGATTAAGGTGATTCCTAGGAGCAAGGCCCTGGATGGTACCCCCTGGGAGAACTGGATTGAGATCCATATAGAAAGAAGCCATATGTGTACTCAAGACATCAAGAACCTCTCTAGGATAGTGGGGGAAAGAGTCAAATAAGCCCCTTTAAACCTAGAGGCATGTAGATCTGAAGCTGTTCAGCAGAAAGGTAGGAGATGTCGCCTCAAAAGCCTATGAGATAGGGTCCAATTAATCCTGATAGGCTGTCGACCTGGCTGGTCCTGAATTCACAGAAACCCACCTGCTCCTGCCCCGCAGTGCTGGAATTAGAGATGTCTGCCTCCATACCCAGCTGGAATTCTTTATCTGATTAATATATTTGGATGTCAGGTAGAGCTTCATTTTCAGAAGGACAAGAAGCCACTGTTTGAGAAGGCATAAGAACCCCTTTAGGGACAGTCAGGACTACTGGATCTGTACAGCCTCAAATGCACTCTTATACTAAGGACCATCTTGCCCTGTTGACCTTTATTCTTTCCCCCATGACCTGTTTGGCTAGATCCACAAGCACCCACTCTCCCTGTGGAGACCGACTCTTTATACCCCGAATGCTCTAAGTTGGTAAACCTCACCAGCAGCAGGTCTCAAAGCCTGTCATCCCAGTGATGACAAAGGAGACTGTGGTACAGAGAGGCAGATCATGGGAGGCCTCATTGATCAAGCTAAGAAGATCACAGGAGCCTGATCTTTAGAAATCCTGGGTAGGAAACGAAACCTCCAGAGCCAGCAATGGCTTACATCTGGTTGAGTCACTGGCCAAAGGAGCTCATGGAAACCCCCAAACATCTCAGGTTATTGCCAAAGGTATTGATTACTCTTCACAACCCAATGGTAAGACCTTATTACATTGAACACAGAGAAGACAAACTGGTGCCAAACTATAGCCTTCACCCCTGCTGACTAGTGTCCATGGTACTGGAAGGTCCTCTGCATTGACCTAACTATAAACCCTGCAATGTACAGCAGTGACCTTGCCTGCATGATATGCTGCTGCAAACGTAGCACAAATTCTGTGGGAATAGGCAACCACTCTTTGTATTTAAGCCCATAACTGACAATTCTCAGGTGGCCAAGAACCTGAAACAGGATAAGTCATGGACCTAGGGAAAAGGCAAATACTGTTGTTCTGCTAAAGGAAAACAACAATAAAACGACTCCTTATGACATTTTGCTATATCCATATACCAGAGCCTCATTCAGCCATCATCATAGAAGCTTCCATTGCAGTAAATAGGAACTAACACAGAGACCCTCAGCTGGTGAGAGATCTTGTAGCACTCAGTCCTAAGAGGAAATCAAACCCCTCCCCTTACAGGTTCAGGGAACTGTGGGAAGAGGAGGCAGAAAGCTCCTTAAGAGCCTTAGGGGATGGATGACTTCAAGGAAGCAGTGACACAACAGGACTAATGCACATATGAACTCAGAGAAAATGTGGCAGCGTGGGCAGATTCAATCCAGACAGGGTTCCAGTGCTGAGATGGGAAGTAGACTTGGGCTATCTCTGGTTGACATCCACTTGCAAAGGAAACATTAGTTTTCTCTACTGTAGTCCTGCTGGGTACATTTATCACACTCAAGGGCAGGCCCCATTCCCAGAAGGAGATGGCCAGCACAAAACAAACTCAGTGGTATTTTTGTAGGTGTGTGTGTGTGTGTGTGTGTGTGTGTGTGTGTGTGTGTGTGTGTGATATGGCTTAGTTTGGGCATTTTTTGTTTTACTGGTCTTTTGCTTGTCTACTATGGTTTCTAATTTTGTGTTTTTATGAGTTTTGTGTGTCTGGTTTTGTGTATGTGTTTTTTAATTATGGTTCTTTTGTTTTTGCTTGCCTCTTTGTTTATTTTTCAAAAATAGGGAAAAATAAAGGGCACGAAGTTTGGTAGAGAGAAGGGGAGGATCTGAGAGGAGATGAGAGAGGGAAAACTATAGTCAAAAATTATATATGTTCTATATTATATATAATTTAACATATAACATATATAATGGTTTTCAAAACAGGGTTTCTACATGTAGTCTTGGTTGTCCTGAAACTCTCTCTGTGGACCAGTCTGGCCTTGAACTCAGAGATTCACCTTCTTTTGCCTCCAAATGCTGGGATTAAAGGTGTGTGCCATCATGCCTAACTTAAAACATTTTTTTCTACTTAGAAAAATTCTGGGTAGGATTAATCTGTGTTTAAATTAACTTTTTACTTTGTAGCAGTCTTAACTGTAGTTTTTAGGTAAAGGGAAAGGAGGGAGACAGGAAGTCTTAGGGAAGTTCTAGTGTATTAGTGTGAGGTGGTTGGGGGCAGGCTTTCAGGTGGCATCTTCGTGGACGCAGAGTGCAAGGCAAGACCTGAGGCGTTCTAGCAGCTACAATTATTGTAGCCTAGTTGCTGGCAGGGTGTGGGGCAAGGCGAGGCAAGGTGAGTCCTGCCAGCCCGTGGCCTGAGCCTCCAGGAGGATGTTCAGAGGAAGAGACCATACAGTTCTAAACAGCTCCAGCTGAGGACTCAGCAATCAGTTCTGGGTCAGGGAATCTAAGCTCAAATGGAAATGAGGGCTAGAAAAAGAGGGATGAGGGCTGTCAAAAATAGCTGGCTGCTTAGAGAAATATGAAGAGAATTGGGAGGTAACCAAACAGAAAGCCTGTGGCCTCTAGGCTTTCATATTCTGCTTTTCCTCTTCCTGGTGACCTCTCCCGTTTCATGGCAGACTGTTCCATTTTTGGACCTTGTTTTTAAATGGCTCAGTGACCTGTTTGGGTCTTTATTTTCTTCTCGTTCACTTAGCAGTTGAGCACTGCTGAACGCCAGATCAACAAGAAGGAATCTGCTGCTTACCAGGTCTGCCTGGATGCTAAGGCGCTTCTTTTTCCTTTTTGTGTCTTGAGGAAAGCGGGGCACTTCCAGGGTGCTTAGACTACAATCCAGATGACCATTGGTCAGGTACAGCGTGAGCTGAGTCATGGCTAGCTGGTCACTGTACGAGAGGCTGAGGCCTGTGGTCCATACCTGGTTAAAACACAAGTCAGAGAGGGGAGGGATGAGATGGGAGAAGAAAGATAGCTATACCAGTCCAACTAGATCAACAGGCCACACTAAACAAGTAGCCAGTGAGATTCTTGGGGTAGATGCCTTTGCCTCTGTTTCTAGATCAAACAGCCGAGGAAAGGAGCTTGTTTCTTGCGTTAGAACATATGTGGTATGTAGGAAGTTAAAGAAATGAGAACCCCTGGCCAAGATAATCTAATAGAGAGCTTAGTGAGTTTTTGTTGTTTGCGTGTTTGTTTTTTGGCTTGTCTATCTCATTTCAGAGATGGACAGGGCAAATGTTTTCTACTGAGATTGGATAAAAGCTAAAGAGAGTGGTAACTAAAGTGGAAAAGTGAGTGGAGACAGGGTGCAGTAAGAAAGGAGTTTTCCTTGACTTTGGAAAAAATAATATGTCTCCAAGAGTTTCAGTGTGCTCTTACCAGAAAGTTAGAAGAGTGAGGTGGTAAGTCTACCACCATCTTACTTTATCAGCCCACAGAGTCATAGTGCCCTCAACAGTGACCTGGTGCCAACCTCTGGGATTATGAGCAGACTATGATGCAATCAAAATTTAAAGGCTGGAGAAAACAGATAGGTTAGATATACTTACTGTGGGTTTGTAGATATCTGAGTGATGGTTATGAATTTATTTGATGGATATTTACTGAGCATCTACTATGTGCTAAACTGGCTGTGACAAAAGTTCCTATGCTACCTTCTCCCTTTCCTTTAAGGTTACAAGTCATTTCAGACTCCCACGAGATTCCCAGAATCCAGCTTAGCTGAATGCTTAAGGAAGAACATGCAAGTCACTAGAGCCAAAAATACAGAAGGCTAGGCCATGCCATCAAGACAGCATATCCACATATGCTCAGGGACTGACAGCTCAGTGCAATGTGCACTCTAACAATGATTATGGGAAGTAGATAGGACAGCCTGGGTTTTCTTGGTGGAGTCCAGGCTGCCTCTGAAGGTGACACTTGAGCTTTAAACTAGTAATAAAGTCATGGTTTGCACGGACCAAGAATATATGGTGTGCTAGGTACTTCACAGACTTCTCTGATCTTTCCAGTTACATTAAAATACAACATACACACAGATAAAAACAAACAAACAAACAAACAAAAAACAGGCTCAAGAGGTACCTAAGTCCACACAATAAGTAAGGGTACACTCAGATTCTAGCCATTTCTGTCTGGCCCTAAGCGCACCCTCCTCCCACGCACCTCTGGACAAGAGGACAATGAAGCTGTAACAGTCCTCCAGTCAAATGAAAAGTCAGAGTCACAGAGGACAGAACATGAACTTGTTTAATATAGCCCATGCCATGGAAGTGTCTTGTGGAGAAAACATAAAGTATTGTATTTCTGGAGCATGCTGTAATTAGAAGTAATGCATTTTCACCATAGGAAGTTGGAAACTAACACATTTTCATAAAGATTTGATTAAATATTTTTTCCTCTTAGAAAGCCTACAAGTGCCCCACTCACCAACTCTGTATGTTAAAATACATAATACATCTGCCCTAGAGTGGACTTCTCTCTTACAAATCTAGCAGTGAGTGACTTGAGTAAGCATTGAATGTAAATGGCATCATTATAAGAATATTAAGGGGTCAAGCTGTCAAGGCCCCTTGCTAAACTGAAGCTAATTTCAGGATCATATTCGCACAGTAATGCTCTTTCATAACGGCAAATGAATCACATTCGCAACAATTGTTGAAAACTAACTGCCAAGTAGCTGCTGCAGTTGTGAACACCCTATTTGTCAACTGAAATCTTTCCTGCTGCATGGGATTATTGCAAATCAGATGGGGCAGCTCCTGTTCCCTATGAGGAGAAGGTGAACTTGCTGTTTCTAAGTGTTCATTTCCTGGGTTTCTCTTTTCATGCTTTGATGCTCTCGATCAAAAGGAGATGTGTATATAAAATATTACTAATACTCTTGTTAGGGATATTGCAATTTTGGTGGTAAGGCTTTTGACAGGAAGGCAACAGAGTATAGGGAAGAGAAGCAAGGAAAGCGCCTGTATATGGCCCTCTCGAGCAGCACACCTTTAGCTAGTACTGATGCTCTCTCAATCTCAGTGGCCTTAAGTGTCAGGCGCAAGCAGTAATATCTGCCACATGGAGCTTCGAAACAAACAAAACACACAAATACATAAAACTGCCTGATAGAGTTGAATACAAATGTTACCTATGATTACTAAGCATTCCCTTTAAGAGGACAGATTCCTCACTGAACACAGTGGTGCAAGCCCATAAGCTGAATCAATGAGGATCACAAGTTCAAAGTCAGCCTGGACTAACAGTGGGAAATTCTGTCTTTTAAAAAAGATTCTTTAGGAGGAACAGTTTGTGTGGCTGTCAGATGGCACCATTTCCTAACTGGTTTGCCCCACAGGCAGGTTTTGGGCAAGGCTGCTATTACTCCAGCTCTTTTTTACTGGTGAGGGTACTGAGATCTAAAAGCTGCTTCATAGTTTGCCTGAGATGGTAGAGCATGGCCAGATCTCCGAGTTTTCTAGAGCTCAGTATTTTTGCTCCCCAGGCTGCCCTAACTCCTTGGTTCTGAAAGGAAATGAAACACATTTCCCTCAGCAGCAGGCTTGCCTGATCTGCTCAGATAATTGTTCCGTTCTCCATCTGGTTTTCCCTGCTGAAAACATTGCCCAAGGCATGCTTGTTTGTGTACAGGGGTTCCAATATCCCCCTCTAGATTGTTAGCCCTAAAGGGGAAGCTGCTAAGTCTTTGTCTTCCTGAGGCCCCTAGTGTGGGGGGGTATGGTTGGTGAAGTAGGGTGCATTCACTATTCCAGTCCATATTGTGCCCGCCTCTGGGGCCTCCTGGGGCCGAGTCCTCTGCGCCTCCTTGGTGCCTGCCCCATGTTCCCACTACATCTCAACTTGATCTAATTTTTAAATTTAAAATTCAATGTTAACTTTAAAAACGTCCAGCTCCCTGCAGTGGGTACCCCTGTTACAAGCAAACCATGACAGTGGCCTGTTCAAAAAGCACTCTGAGAAGGGATGAGGACAATGTCTAGGGGGGATTTTGACATGACTTGCTGTGATGGCTTGTAATGAGTAGATTGATGGGTTAATTGATTAGATTTGAAGGTAAGGGTAGGGCAGGAAAGACTCTTTAAAAAAACACCCAATACAATCAGTTTGCTTTATAACTGGAGCAACTCTGGCAGAGGTGGTAAGGTGGTTCTCCTTGGATCACAGCTAAGCATCAAAGGTGCACAAGGTCTACACGTCCTATTTCTCATCAGAAATCACTTGATGATAATAGTTTACTTGATGATTTTAAAAATAAATTTGCTGCAAATAATATGAATGCTAGGGAAACTCAAATCAAGGTATCAAGAACACAACACAAAAATATTCACTGCAGCATTACTTGTAATACTAAAAACTTACAACTGTCTAGCATTTGAGCACTAGATAAGAAAATTACAATACAACCAAGTGATGGGATGGTGTGTGATACTATATGAGAGATGATGGTTGTGAATAACGTGATGATATAGTGTGCACAGAAAAAGAGGACAAGAAAGTTATGTAAGCAATATGACTTGAGCTTTGCAAAAATAATATGTACACAAAAAGACTAGACGAGAATATTAGAACATGTTAACCATCAGTGTCAATATTAGCAGAATGATAACTGCACTTTCAAGGATATTCTCAGACATTCTCAGAATATGCACTATCTAACACGGTAGCTGCCAGCCACATGTAATGTTGTTGGTACAAACTGAGGTGTGCTGTTAATGGGAAACACATGCTGGACCTCCAAGATAGAGGAGGTAAGGAGGAATGTTAACACCTCACAAATATTATTTTATTCATTAGAATGCTGAACTGATACTACTCTGGTTATGATGGGTTAATTAAAAAAGGTCAAAAATTATTTTTTATCACTTTGTTAACTTGTAAAAATGGGGTTCCTAGGAAATAAAAGTTATGCATATGGATTAACAATTTCTAGTCCATTGCAACTTCACCAAAGAGGAGGGTCCAGTGTGGGGAGAGGAGGCCCTACCTTTCCACCTCCCAGACTGCACTCTGCCTGCATTCTGAGAACCAAGACAGGCCAGAACTGTTCTGTTCTCGAGTTCTTTGGGATGACAAGGCAATAATATGTTCCTGTGTGATAAAGGGCAGGAGAGAGACTTAATAAAAAGCCCTTTTTGCCTTAGGTGTTCTGGGCAGATGGAGGCCGCCTGATCACCCCTGCTGCTTCTGCCTCTTTCTGGTGACAGGCAGGATGGATGGGTGGTAGAACATGCAGATGTGGGCAGCTGGGCTTTGGTTCTGCATTCTGTAATTGTCGTCGAGTGCAAGAAGAGTTTCATGGCAAAGAGTTTTTTCTTGCTTCTTGCTAGCCTTCTTTTATGAACATCAGGGTAAGAATGTGACTGAGGGACTAGTTTATAGATTATATAATAGTCATTGAAGAACCAGAATTTGTGAGCTTCAAGAATCTACAGATCTTTTACAAATTCATGTTAATACTTTCATCCCCTTTTCTTCTCTATAGGGAAATTGAGGCTCCGAGAAGTTAATAGGTTAACGGTCCAAGCTGATGCTATCAGTGTCTGAGACATATTTTTGTAATCCATAACTAAGTCACCTCTTTGTGTCATTTTTCTCTTGACTAGTCACTGGAGATTGTGATCCAGGTAGACCTTCCCTTCATTGCCCTCAGGTATGTCTATGAGGCCAACTAGGGAGTGTAAAGATTTACCACCTGGTGGGAAAAAATTTTTTTTAAAGACTTATTCTCCAAATTAGCCAATGAGAAACAGCACTGAGAATTTACCCACTAAAGAGCTGGCACCAGGCCTTCAAAGTAAACTGATGTATGACCATTCTCCTCAGCAGCCTGTTTGGCTGAAGGATGTAGGAATGAACTCCCTTACCTATGCTTTTGTTCAGATTTATGGTTCTAAGTCTGATGGGAAATATATT